ATAGAGGATATAATTGGGACAACTGGGGAGCTTTGAAAGGGGCTGTGTGTTAGATAATATTATTATATCAATGTTAAATTCTTTAGATGTAATAATGGTACTTGGTTATGTAAGACAATATGCTTGTTTTTAGGATATGCGTGTTAAATACTTGGAGGTAGGGTGTCATGATGTCTGCAACTTTCAAATGGTTCGAGAAAAAAAGTATGCCCGTCCCTTTCTATCTCTCTCTCTTTCTCTCTGCACGCATGCACACACACACCTGCATGCTTTATATACTATATAAACAAATGTGGCAAAAACAACAATCAGTTAATCTAGATAAAGGGTTACTACAGGGGTTATTTTACTATTCTTTCAACTCTTCTGTAACTTTGAAATTTTTCAAAATCACAACTTGGAGAAGGGGAAATAAATGATTTAAACATTTATGGTAAATTTTGTACTTTTAAATAAATGTTACTATTTTAAAATTTTAAAAAACCTCAATGAATAATCTAAATGAATCTTGAAGACAGAATTTTAAATGGCCTGGATATGCAAGAATAATAGTGTGGAATAAATGGAGTATAGTTCAGTAGGAGGTAGTTAAGATGGAGTGGCAAGACGGGCGGTCAGGAGCAAGAATAAGCTGTGGGACTTTGGGCAAGTTACTCCCTGTCTCTGAGCCGCAGTTTCCCTCTGTGTAAAATAAAGGCTAATTGATGTCTACAGTTGTTTTGAGTTTTATGGATCTCTAAACTGGTACAGTGTAATTTCCTTAAGCACATACCACAAAAGGGATAAAACTACAAAAAGAATTGCAAAAAATCAAGAACAAGCTACTGAGGAAGAAAGAAGAGATAATAATCTTAGAACACAATTTTTCTAAACATGAATCTCCTTGGAAGAATGAGATGTCATACAGAGGCAATTGGTTAACATATCAATTCATGCTGAAGGGAAATATAATCAGCGTGGCAGAGCAGAGTATGAGTCAGTGCAGGGGCTGGGGAAATGGAATTGAGCACACCCAGAGAGGAGCCTCATTGAAATTCACCTCTCATATCCAATACTAACCAGATTCTTATAGGTGAACTTTACTCAAAAGCTTACTGACAAAATGTCTACAAGTTAAAGTTTATTCAGAGTAATTCCACAACAATTCCTATAGTAAGCAAATAATGACCCTAGATATATCATGTACCTGCTTTATATCAATGCAATGCTTCATAGGACAGCTGTGCTTTAAAGGAAAATTAAGCATGGACTCTGGCAGTTATAGGGCATCAGACTTTATACCAGGCACTCTCCTATGTTACTTTCTTTCATCATCACAGCCTAGAGAGGTGGTTTCTATTTCCCTCGTTTGTAGCCGTGAAGAAGTAGAAAATGAGGGAAGACCTCATTTTGATAGTTATCAAAACTAATTACAGTCATGTGCCGCATAACAACGTTTCCGTCAACGATGGACCACATATATGATGGTGGTCCCATAAGATTAGGACAATGCAGCTGAGGTGTGTAGTAGGCTATACCATCTAGGTTTGTGTAAGTACACTTTACGATGTTCACCCAAAGATGAAATCACGTAACAATGCATTTCTCAGAATGTATCCCTGTTATTAAGTGATGCATGACTATTTACCAGAGACACTATATCCCTACTAAGGAACATGACAAAAAAAGGCTTTTTTTAAAGGGGGTTGGTAGTTGTTGTACGTATAAAAGAATTCCCATGGGGATCACTGAGTACTGGAATATGCTTCTACAGAGGTTGCAGGATTCCTCCGTGAGGTCCTTATAGTCAGGCTAGCAAAGGTCAAGCAGCAATATGGGAGGCAATGGGGAGGAGAGAACCTTCCCCAAACTGAGTCAGGAGACCTTGTCCTCCCGTGACTCTCTCATCTATTAGCTGTGGGACCCAGAGCATGTCAGGTGGCCTCACTGAGCTTGTTTCCTCATTCCTACAGGATTCAGTAAGGCCTTGTGACCTTAATCTCCCTTCTGGTTCTAATCGATTCCAGCATCTCTTGGGCTTGGTCCACACCTATCCATTTAGGAGCCACTGGTAGCTCATTTTGGCTTTAATAACTTTTTCATAAAATTCAGGTTTTGCAAGTATAAGCAGATAAAATATAATAAACATTGATTTTTATTTTTTATTAAGGGAAATTTAAAATTCTAATTCCAAAGAAAGGAGAAAGCCCATAAGTGGGAAAAAGTGGTTTTGAAGAACCACAGTATATCATTGAAATCAAGGCCTGAGCCCCGACTCAGACATTCATTCTACATGTTTACCTCCTCTTTCTCTCCAGAAACACTTTCCCAATGATAGTAAAGGGACAAGGACAGTGTAAATTCCTAAGGATGAAGAGAACTAAAGAGGAGTCTTCTGTACATGAGGGATTCCAACACATTTGGGAGATGAAAAGCAGGACTGAGAGGATGCCAATGAGAAGTTAGCCAATTCACCCAGGAATCCCCAGAGGGTCAAGGATTAGAGGTGGGGTGAGACATGTCAATTGAAAGCCTGCATGTATTCAGAGCAGGTGGACACCAGACAGCTTCCCAGGCCCCACATGGCTTTAGCGAAACAGGGGAATCAACTGAGAAAGAAGATGACATGGGATCCAGGATATAGGAACTCTGACACAGAGGTACACTGAAGGAACGTTCCAGTAAGAAAGCCATGCAGTAGATTTGAGGGTAACCATCCAGATCAGAGCAGGAGGAAAGAAGGCCCATAAGGAAGGTTTCCAGAAGAAAAGGAGGAAAAACTTGAACTAATATATTTGAACATTAGAGGAAAAAAATCACTAATTGTTATATCAGATCTGAAGGAGTATATAGAAAAAAATTAAAAAGATGAGCAAAGAGGAAACTTTATACAAACAAAAATAAATGGAGAATAGCTGAATGTTCATCACAGCATTATTCATAATAACCAAGAAGTAGAACAACCTAACTTTCTATCAGCTGATGAATGGTTATCTACGTATATCTATACAATAGAATATTACTTGGAAATAAAAAGGAATGGAGTACTGATACTTGCTACAACCTTGATGAATCTTGAAAACATCATGCTAAGTGAAAGTAGCCAAACACAAAAGGCCATATTTTATATGATTCCATCTATATGAAATGTTCAGAATAGGCAAATCTATAGAGATAGAATATAGACTGGTGTTTCCCTAGGGCTGGAGCTGGTTGTGGGGAGAACAGAGAGTGACTGTTAATGAGTTCTAGGTTTCTTTTTGGGGTGACGAAAATGTTCTAAAATTAAATTAGAGTGATGGTTGCCAAATTCTCTAAATATACTAAAAGCCATTAAATTGTACGCTTTAACTAGATGAACTTTGTGTTATATCTCAATAAACCTAATAAAAACAAATAAATAAATGGAGAAATCAGGCAAATTATGACTCTAAGTAAAAAAAAGTGTTCAAGAGAGCAAAAGTAATTGTACCACACGGTATGGATGAATTTGCATAGTTGTCATAATGTATATTATTTATTTAACCAAAAATCGTGATATACTAGTAGGATGGAGGGTTGGCATGGGGAAGTTAGGGGAGGTATAAGATAATTCCTCATCTTCTATAAGAAGAAATTAATAATAGACTGTGCCTAAAACAAGCAAATCAAGAAATATTAGAGAAATAAACATATTACTTAGAAATTAAAGGTAACTATGCTGAAGAATCTCTAAGAGCAAATGGTTTCCTCTGGAAAGCAGGAATTAGGCCAGGGCAGAGCGAGGTGGGAGCCACAACTAAAAGGCTGGTACTAACCATGTGCATTATTACTTTAACGAAAATAAAAATTAAACGTAAGACAGGTTCATTTTTTACTGCCAGCTTAGCCTGTAAAGAGTCATCCTAACTGGAGCCTGTGCCTGGGAGCAAAGCAGCGCCATCTCTCTACAAGGCCCATCTTAAGATGAGAAAACTGAGGCCAGCAACGCTGAATGGTTTATCCAAGGTCACAAAGTAAAATAGGCAGAACTCAGATGAGCATCTCTAAAGACTTAAAATACTGCTACTCTCCCCGAGTCCCCAGGCTTGGGTACCATAAAATGTACACCACGTGCTCCCGGGCTGAAAAACGGCTGATGCTGAGCATATTTCACTCACTTCCTGCATATCTTAAACTATGTAGTGGAATGTTTTCTAGATCCTCTCCAAATCTGAAATAAAATATTTAAATAAAATTGAGCCGGTACTAAATCTTTTTAAATATAATCTCCTCACTTCTTTATCCCTCCCCTAATTATTTTTCAAGCACCATGTCGTGTAAAGCCACATTTGTGTAAATTAGATACATGTGTGGAGAATTTGACACCAAAAAAAGAGTTATCATGTAATAATTTTTAAGCAACACTTTAGTTTAGAAAAATTTACATCAGATCAATTCCCTTAGTTTCAAGATCCTGCTTGATACATTATTATATCAATTTCACACTTGAATACTCTTTCACTGTTATTATATAGATTGTTTTTGTCCGTAGAATTTTATTCTGGATCACATAAGGAGTATCGGATATATAGATATGGATATGGCTATGGATATATCAGCCATATAGATAAGGTTATGGATATGGATGCACATACAGACACAGGTATCATATATCTTCTCAGATGATGCCCATTTAGCAGAAGAACCAAGTACAGGAAGGTGGTGGATGAAAACACACTGACTCCTCTCGGGCACCCCTAGTTAATTTCCTCAGTCCTCTCCATATAGCCTGGATTCGCATGTTTTTATTTCGCACAGCCTTCAAAGTGATGCAGAAAAATACTGTACATTCCGAGTGTTTTGAAATGTCCTTTATCAGCAACATATGTATACTTACACTCCTAACAGCAACAACTCAATTTCAGATCACAACTCTGTGAGCATCTGCAGCGATAACTACCTTTTTTATGTTGACAGGTGGCTGATTAAGGAGGAGGAATGTATCTTTAAGTTTGCTATCATGAAAAAAATGTATACCACCCTCTCCAATGGTTCGGCACCTCGTGATTCCTCGTGGTCCTTTTCCTTCTGAGCAGTTCAATTAGCGGGAAATCTCTCTCTGATGGACTGAAGCAGCTTGAGTGAACGCCCGAGCGCTCAGCCAATTAGGCTCATTTGAAGTTGCAGAATTGCCTTCTTTGGTGTTAAAACCCCATGTCAAACACTGGGTCTAAGATCATTTGTGCTTCAAAATGAGATTGACAGCGCAGCTGCAACAGGGGGCATGCCTGCTGTACGACTTAATTGCGGAGACTGAAGGGCCATCATGAACCGGCGCGCGGAGACCGCCTCGCCACTGCTGCATCACAAATGCTCTTTATTAACAGCGATCTGTAATCAATGGGCTCAGGCTTTTTGCCAGAGCCCCCAAATCAGACAGGCGGGCCTCTGCGTCAGGGTGGGCGGAGCCACGGGGCCTGGCTATCGAACGGGAAAGAGAAAGCTGTGTCGTCCCGGTCTGACTCTTGGGTGCATGCTAAATCAGAAAGAGACCCTGGCCATCATTCCAGGGGCGCCCTTCTCTCACTACTGGTTGAATATTCATTAGCCTGGGTGAGCGCGGCTCACTATACATACAATTACATGTTATTGATGTGAATGAAAAGAATTGCTTTTGTTTCAACAAAGGCAAATGTTCTAAATCAATTCAGCATTGGGTTTAAAGGTAACTTTTGATCAGATATATCCAAACGTAGATACATAGATAGAGACACACAATTCAGTAGGTGTTAGGAGATAGCGGGAGTTAGAAGGGCTTTTGTTATATAGCCAATAGGTTAATTTCTGAAATTTAAAATCTATTTATTTGGAAACAATCTGTAAATTCCAGTAAGGATTTCCTTTCCTTTAAAAGAAATCACTACATACATTCTTTCTGACAGTGTATAATGGGAAAAGCACTGGGCTGGGAGTCAGAGACCTACGAGCTAGACGGAGCTCTGCTGCCAGGGAGCTGTGTAACCTGGGGCAGATCATTTAGCCTCTCTGGCCTGCCTGCCTTATCTGTAATACATGAGGGACAGACGAGTTGCAATGTCCACGAAGTTCATTTGCTATCCACCATTTCCTAACTGTGTTTAGAGTTGTTTCTTTCCTTCTGTGTTGCAAGAAAGCTGTGTATCCTACTATTAAGAGCAGAAGAAAGGAGAGTATAGTTGGGACAGCCAAACCAAATCGCCTCGGCCCCCTTGCCCTATTCTCAAACAAATATCACTGGCAGGTATTCTTTCTGCAAAGTCCTGCATTAAGTGCTATGCAAGATAGGGCAGGATCAGAGTTACCTGGGCCCTGATCGCCAAGAGCTCAGTCTTCCAGACCAACAAATAAATCGCTCACCAGTCCTTGTGTAAGGTTGCTTTTCAGCTCAATAATAGATCCAGCTGCACCCTATCCAGGGCAGTGTTCATGGCCACCCTGTCTGTGCACTGCATAGCTGCAGGGGGCACCATTCACATAGAACACCAGTTGAACAGATACCCCCTGGAGTTGTGCAACATGGCGTCCCTGATCCTGTTAGATCAAGTCAACAAGCATCACACTGCACTAAGTTCTGAGAGAAATAACATGAGCTCTCTGCTCTCTGGTCATTAGACTCTAGGAATAAGTTCACGGAAAGTATATATTCGTATACTTGCAAAATTTATTAATAAGTAAGATTATAAACTATTAAAGAATGACTGAAGAAAGCAATGAAAAAAAATCACAAGCAATAGGTGATTGTGGTACTATACCATATATGGTACTATACCATAGTCTGAATTAAATGAAATTATACATGGAAAATGCTTAAATTGTGCCTGGTACATAGCACGTTTTTAATAAATCTTAGTTTTTGTCCCATTCATTTTTGCAATATTTCGCACAATGATATTTGCTAGAAAGGAGAGATTATTTTAGCTTGAGATATGCAAGGAAGGATTTAAATAGGATGCAGGGTTTGAACTGAATCTTAAAGGGCAGGTGAATTTTGAATAAGCAAAATATTGAATCATGACCTTAATTCAGATTCCCACAAAGTGTGCCTAGAATGGTGGGTCATCAAGGTGGAACACCCTGGGGACACTCAAAGGTCTGGCCACTTCTCACCACAGGATTCTAAAGGGTCCAGAGCAACAGCTGTGTCACCATTCACCCAGTTGCCAATAGCCTCTACTGGAACAGCTCATCACAAATCTCCACGTCACCCTCATCTCCACCATTTTCTCTGCAGCTGATTCTGTAGGGCAATTCGAGTCTTTCAAATCAGAAGGACTCCACCAAACTGTTCTACATTCCAAAAGTCACCTACAAGCTTCCCTCAAGCTGACTTGACTGCTACCCCGTGTTCTCAAAAGTAGACGAAAGAGTTTTGAGTTGAAAACTAGAACATTCCACTCTCTATTGGGACCTCCATCACTATGGCTGATCATTTCTTTTCAGATCCCTCAGGTTCACCCAGAACTGGATTGAACCACCACACTGCAACCCAATAAACCATGGAGCCATTCCAGTGTGAGGGCTTGGCAGAGGAATAATAAAGGTAATTAAGAATGATGATAATAATAACACCTATATTCCAAATACTTTACAAATGAATAAAACGTGAAAGTTTTAGAAACTCAATCTTTACAATAACCCTTTGAGGTCAATACTATTCTTATCTGCATTTCACAATTGAGGAAACTAAAGCACAGAAACTAATACCCCCAAGGTCGTAGAGCTGTTGAGTAGGACAGCCAGGATCCAAACCCAGGCTATCGGGTTCCAAAGTCTCAACACACATGCTTTACTTCCTCTCTCCCCACATGGTTGTCATCCCCTGCTCAAAATGACCAAGATGTCATGGTGGCCTACAACTGCTCCAGTTAAGGTGATTTTCATGACTAACCCATTTATATTCATTAGCATTTCGGTCAAGATCCATACTGAATCCTGACCACTATGTGTAATCGTCTACTAGGAACCTAACTCTTCTTACTCCTGCCGATCTCAGCACATTCACACTTACTGTCTCCCTTACTCTTCCCATCCTGGTCCTTCTAATCTGCCCCCCTCCTGCACTCCCAAGCTCAGGGAATGACACCAGAATTAACCCAAGAAAGAACCCAAGAGTTATTCAAGGTATTTCCCTCCCATCCATTATCCTAACAGATGTCAGAATGAAACATTCAAATCTGAGCATGTTACTCTCTTACTCAAAATTCAATGCTCTCATTTACCTACAGGATTTAATCCAATCTCCTTGCAAAGCATACAAGTTTTGTGTGACTTGATCCCAGCTTCAAGTGCAGTCTCCCTTCACATCAAACTCAGTGCTCCAGCCATAATGACCTTTGGGTAGTCCTCACATGCCAACTTTACCCACAGCTCTGTCCTTTGGCTTCCTTGTCTAGCCTGCCATCCCCTGGCGTGCCGACTGATCGATGTTTCCTCATCTTTTGAGTTTTCTTCTATTCAAACTAAATTTTCTCTATGAAGTTTATATTTCACATGGTTTCCAAAAATAGGCAATGTAAATCAGAATAGTTTTCTTCTAAATAATTTTCATTTTAATAGAAGACTTCAACTCTCTAATTCCTTAGATGAAATCTCCAAAATTAACATTGATTTTTTTGTCATCTTTCAAGCCATCCTCATAAAACCTGTTGTTCTGTTAAGGAGTGAGGGCAATTGTGCTTCTTTGGAAATAAATGCCTTTAGCCCATGATCACCAAAATGAACAAATTTGTTTTATAAAAGACATGCAACAATTTTAAAATGTTACATTCTGATTTTATTTACTGTTATCAACAGCTGCATCCTCTACATTCTTGTACAAGCAAGAGAAATCTATGATTGGATGTATATCTGTCATCTTTCTAGAACTTTCTCCTCTCTGAGGACATGTCTTAGATGATCACATACATATTTTTCAAGCTTTAATATCTATCATTTAAAATAGTTGAAGGATTGCTGTCCTTAAATAATGTCACAGTAATGAAAGAATTAGCATCGACACTTGACACTGTTCATGCTAATATTTTATGCTCTGGATTTTTCCACAGTATGAAATCAAATCACACATCCTGAGAGAAATGCACATGCCATATTGTCATGCACAGTAGATCAAACTAATGTAGTAAAAACCCTAAATGAAAACCTTCTAAGGAATTTTAAACACACAAGCTACATCTGCAAGATATTTAACTATTGTGCTTTCACTAAAAATTAATGAGATTTAAATTCAGCTTGAAAGATAGAACAACCAAAATTTAAAGTGCATGCTGAATTTGTGTCCTAGGTTGGCCCCTCAGGATTCTACACAGTCTGCTCTGGACAAAATATTTCAAGTTCAGAACAATGGTGGGTGGAGGTAGAGATTTAACTTCACTCTTCTGTTTGTCCATGATCTCAACACAATTCTGTATGCCTTTTAATCAATGTATTAAATATCTTAGCTTATTTGGAAGGTGTACACAAAAGAGGAATCAGAGGTCGCAGCTCAGTATGCTAGTCTATTCTCACATGGATGATTCAGACTTGGAATTTGTCAGATATAAGAAAGCACTGGCAAGATAAGTGTAATTAGCAAACTCGTTAGTGATTGCTTCAGTCCAACACATGACCACTTCTTAGGTCAAGAAACTCTGCCCCTGTGGTTTTACTCCAAATGGCCGCCCAAAACACTTTAATATATACTCCTAGAATCATAGAAATTAAAGGAACAATTTCTAAATAGACATACTAAATCATATTTATATCTACTTTTAAAAAGGGGAGTCAAATGTTATTTATTCCCCTTGCTACGCATCAGCTCCTCCATTCTTGGCAGCTGCAGCAACTCAAAACTGCATTCATTCCTTTTGGAAAGTTCCTATAATTGCAACCAAACACTAAATAACACACAGTCTCATCAACAAAACCACACAAATATTCAGCTGCATTATTATTTCTTTGGCAGCTTGTGTTTAATAATTTAATTCAATTCCAGTAGCGCAGCGCATAGCAACTCCTTTTTTTGAACCAGTAAACTATGTGACTGAGACATGGAAGTCATATTGGAGTATGAGTTTGCATGCTGAGGTGTCATTTTCATAAAACAGGACTTTTGCTAGGGGTATACAATGGAAATGCAGAATCTTCAGATCTGATCAACAGTCATCAGCCATTAATTCATTATAATGCTATTTTTCTATCTAGGCAATTTATGATTTGCCAGAAATACAGATAAGTGGTTTATATATTCTTAAAGACTGTTAAGCAGGAGACTAGAATTTA